GCCCGGCGCGTGCTCCGGCGCGCCCGCCGCGGCCGCGGGCGCCGGCGACGAAGGCGGCGCCGGCGGCGCGAGCGAGGAGAGCAGCGAGAGGGCGCGGGCGGCGGCGGCGGCGGCGGTCGGGGGGCCCTCTCCGGCGCGGCAGAGGGGGTCGGGGGCGGCGGATTGGTACCGAGCGTCCCAGGCCATGTTCAACGACAGCAGGGCGCAGTCAGCTGCCTCCAAATATTCGATCTGGGGCAGCAGGAAGCAGAACGACCCAAACGGCTCCCATTCCGGCGCCGGCGCCTGCTGCGAATCGAACCTGCCCCGAGGGAGGCGGGTGGCGGCAGGACGGCGAGGGGGCACAGCAAGGGAAGGGTCCGTCAGCCTCTCGATCGGATTGGATCCTGCGCCTGGCAATCAAGCCCAGGTAGCAGCCCCCAGCAGCGCTCCGGGCGGCGGCCCCGCAGCCGCGCGGCCAGCGGCTCGCCGCGCAGCACGCTCTGGCGCACTCAACGCAGCCAAAACAGCACAGACAAGCGCGGCGCGCAGCCGCCTCTCGCCCCCGCCCCGCCCCGCCCCACCTCGCCCTTCCGCTCGCCGCGCCCCACCTCGTGCCGCCCAGCACGCGGATCCGCGGCTGGGCCTCCGACAGCATGCGCTGCACGCCCGTCAGCTGCTCTTCGCCAAACGGCACCCCGCCGTCCCCGCGCCACAGCCACGCCGCGCCCAGCCCCGCCGCCGCGCTCCAGCCGCGTGCGGCCGCCTCGGCCAGCGCCGACTTGGGGGTCTCCGGGGCGGTGCTGTGGCGGCCGGCAAAGTACACCTGGTGGTGCGAGGCGGCGTCCTGGCCGCGCAGCCAGCGCGACGCGCTGCAGCCGCGCGGCAGCGGCACCTCCCACCGAACGACGCCGCTCGAGAGCGCCGCGAGCTGGGGCAGCGCGGCGGCGGCCGCGGCGCGCAGGGCGGCGGCGGCGCGCTGCCAGGAGGGCTGAGGGGGGAGGACCCAGGTTTGCGTGAAGGTCACCGGCTGCAGCGCCATGGGCGGGGCCACAGCACTGGGGCCGGGGGCAAGGGCGGGGGCAGGCCGCGGCGGCGGCGTGGAAGCATCGCCGCTGGGCTCAGCGGCGCCGCTGCTGGCGCCTGGGTTGCTGTCGAACGCGTCCGCAAGCGCCGTGCCGGCGCGGTCGGGCGCGCCGGCGCGCGCGGCGGAGCGCAACCGGCGCCGGTTCAGCGCGGCGGCCGACGGCGGGGGCGCTGGGCTGAGTTCAAAGTGGTGGCGCCGCCGGCCGGGTGCCAATGGGCAGGTCGCTGCATGCTCGCCGGCGCTGCCGTCGTAGGCTGCAATGCTGCTCCTGCTGCGGGCAGACGTGCGCTGAGCTCGGGTCACCGCTCCCCTGGGGGCGGCACCACTGCCGCCACCGACGCATGGTGCGGATGACGAGCACGGCCACTCCGACAGCATCACTGCTCAATAATGGCCTGCAAGATTCATGTCAGGCGTCCTCTTATCATCGCGATAAGGCAAAACTGGTGATGTCTGGTGGCGACGCGGGGTGCATCGGTGATACAGGCCCCAGACAGCTTTGCAGCGCGATGTACAATGCAGGTTAGAGGTTCGCAGCTGCGACGCATGCCGTTTTCTGTTCGAGAAATCGCAACTCACCCACCTCGTGCACAAACCACAATTGTGCCAACCTTCTCCGCTCCAGTGCATCAAGTAAAACTGAATTATGTTAGAAGCTCACGAAATGCTGCACGTTCCAGATTGAGAGGCGTGATCTGGCGAACTCTCCGACCTCCACGCCAGTCCTCAGGACGCCAAATCAGTGTACAAGACCCCCAAAAATAGAGTGATTGCAACACTGCCTTCCAACAGCTGTCGATCTCGCCCTGGTTGCTGTTTCAGGGATGCGCCTGTCAATCTCCCAACACAGATGGTCAACCTTTCATCAGCGTCGCTCGACAGTGTTTCTGGTCCCCACTCATACAGATTGCACTGTCTCCTGGAAACGATTTTCCGTGGTGGCCCTGCCACGAGGCTCAACGGTCAGGATACGCCTGGTGCAGCAGTCGAGTTCACAATTACAAGAAGCAAGGACACAAATCGCACCCAGCTTCCTGCACAAAACATACAACATGGTTTGGGGTTTCGGATCCAACAGCCATCACTTGTGCAGCAGTGATGTGTGAGGGAAGCTACCCTGACGCTGGTTTTGTTTGCTCTGTGGTGCCGCCGCACCGGCTCGACCACGACGTGTTCCATCGATGTGAACAACAATGCTGCTGTATGAATCAAGTCATCACGCACAGGCATACACGCTCGCACAGTTTGGTGGCCGCCACCTGCCACTGTCGCCAGGTTGACCAATGCCTGGAGCCAAGCAATCGTGCTGCAGAGGCCCGGCCAGCAGTAAGCTCATGTCTACTTGCCGTGCCGCTCTTTGTCCTGGGTGGCGGTGCTGTTTGGTGTCTGTAGTGGGGGCAACGTGTACCAGTACTCTGCCGGCGTTCCTGGTTGATCACAGCCAGAACCCATCATAAATCCACACAAACCTTCTAAAATTTTGAGAGCTTTGCGTGCGATCTTTTCTTGATTGCAAAAGGAGTGCAGCTGCATGGCCTTCGAGCAATCACGCGAGTTGAAACTGCAGCAGCTACGCTGGGGACCTGGTGGACGCCAAAGGTGCGTTCACCATTTGGCTGGCGCATCAAAAGGCATCGCGATGTATGCCACTGGAGAAACAGCATGACGCGACCTTAATCAATTGAGAGAACATAGAGGTCTCGGCGAGGTCCGATGCAGCGGCACGCTGGTTGTGATCATCGCTGGGGAACATCACGAGCAGCATGTTTCATTAGCAATATAAATGGCATAGCCGCACATAAGGTCACGCGGCGGGCCCAGATCAACTGCAGAGGGCGACACACCCCTGCCGCCGCTGCGGCCGACGCCGCGTGGACTCGAGCGGTGCCTGCCCCCGCGAGCGCCGCGCTGCCCCCAGACCTCTCAAAGCTGCTGACGAGCAGGACGTTCACCCCAGACCCCTATGTTGGTCCCGTGGATGTGCAACTGATCCCTGGTGAGCAAACAAGGCCTGAGCTCAGCGGGTACACCTACAACAGGGCTCACAGTGACACATGCGGAGCGGCAGTTTGACACATGGCCCCTGGGACGCACGTGCAAACTTGCACAGTCGAATGTAATGTTCCTGTTTCATCAACATTCCATTTGCGGCAGGCAAGGGTCTTGGCCTTGTCGCCACCCGCAACGCCGCGCTCGGCGAGCCGCTGCTCGTGTGCCGCCGCCCCCTCGCCGTGCTGCTGGGGGAGCAGGGGCGCCCGCCCCCCAATGAGGAGCTGGTCGAACTGCTGCTGACGTCAGACCTGGAACCAGCCCAGTCTGCGTGGCTCCGGCTGCTGCGCGGCGGCGCGGGCGGCGGGGAGCGGCCGGAGAGCGCCGGGTCCGCGGCGGCCGACGCGGGCGGCGCGGGCGGCGGCAGCGAGCCTGAGGGCGGGCGCGGCGGCGCCGCGGGGACTGTTGCGGCTGCGGCAGGCCGGCGGCAGGCCGACCTGGCGGAAGCGCGCGCCCTGTTCTTTGGGACCTGGCCGGCGCCTGCAGCTGGCGGAGGTGACGTCAGCGGCAGCAGCGGCGAACGCGGCGGCGACCACTGCAACGGCGACAGTGCTGATGACGCAGCCAACGCTGTCAGCGAAGCAGCTGGCGCAGACGCCGGCGCGGCGGCAGCAGCAGCAGCAGCAGCAGCAGCAGCAGCAGCATCGTCATCAAGAGCAGCAGCAGCATTGGCGGGCTCGCCCGCGTCTCACGCGGCCGGGCTAGGGCTGGAGGTGTTGGGTGTCGTCTGCCCCTTGTCAAGGGAGGACGCCGAGCGGCTCGTGGCCGAGATGGCGTATGCAGAGGCGTCCGAGGACACGTGCGCGGCCGCGCTCAAGGAGCTGACCGCCGAGAGCGCGGCGGGCGTGTGGCAGGAGTTTGCGCTGCTCAACCACAGCTGCGCACCCAACACCTGCGCGGCGCTCTTCGGCGTTACACTCGTGGTGGGCCCCCGCGGCGCCTGCAGGGCGTGCTGCTGTTGCAAGCGCGCGTGCTTTGGAGGGAGGGATGCGGCGCTTGTTGACCGCGGGTTTGACTGCTCTTGCGGCCGGCTGACGCCAGCGAGCTGTGCAGTCCTGACCGGCCGAGCTGAGCCCTGCTTCATCATTGCATCGTCCCTTGGATCGACAAAACCGCCTCGCCCTCGTCAACGTCATGCACGGGCACGCGTGCAAGCGCAGGTCAGGGCGGCGGCCCCTATCTTGGCAGGGGAGGAGCTGACGGCTTGCTACCTGGGGGAGCGCCGCCTGGCGCCTGTCCGGGAGCGCCGCGCCGCGCTGCGCGCCAACTACGGCTTTCACTGCCAGGTCGGAGGGGGGGGGGGGGGGGGCGCAGGGGGGGCGGCAGCCGCGAGGCAGGCGCCTCTGGCCTGGTGCGGGCTCCGCAGGAGGGGAGGCGGAGGGGCCGCGCAGCAGCTGCGAACGGCGCAGGGCGGCCCTTTTTGTTAAGCGCTTAGAAACCCGTTGCAGTGTGTTGCCGGCTTAAGTCCTTCGCTGCGGCCGGCGACACCTCCTGCACTCTCCTCCTCCCCTTGCACGGCCTCATTCTGCCGCCCCCTCACCCGCGTGCCGCAGTGCGACCGCTGCATCGCGGAGCAGCGGGCGTTCCCCACAAATTGGTACCCCCAGGACACAGAACTGCTGGGGCTGGCGAATGAGGCGGATGCCAGTGGCAGCAGCAGCAACGGCAGCAGTAGCAGCAGTGCTGACGCGGCAGTGGCGCCCTCGGAGGCAGGCGGCGGCGCCGTCAGTCCAGGCCCGCTCTCGGCTGCGTGGCGCGCCGCGCAGGAGTGGTTTGGGTTCGGGCCAGCTGCGGCCGTGCGCCCGTCGCCGTCCAGCGACAACTATGCGTTGCAGCAGCTGTTCGAGGCGTGCGCGCCAGGAGGGCAGCTCGCCGCCGAGGTGCAGGCCGCGGCCGCAGCGCCCACCGCGCGCGCCGCGGTGCAGCGCCGCGCCGCCGCGCTCGTGCAGCTGGCGGCCGCGCGGCGGCGGCTCGCGGGCGCGGTCGCCGCGCTGCCTCGGCCGCCGGCGCCGGGCGTTGCGAGGTGGCTGGACGCCGCGGCGTTCGAGTGCCTGAGGCTTGAGGCAGACGCCCTTGATTTGTTCCTGTCCGGCGGGGCCCTCCCGAACGCAGTAGACCTGCAGCGTGCCGAGGACGCGGCCTCGGGCGCCGGCAGGGGCGCCCGCGGCTGGCTATCGCGGCTGCTGCTGCGCGGCGGCGGCGGCGAGGCGCCTGAGCCGGAAGAGGACGCCGAGCGCGCGGAGGCGGCGGCGCGGCGCGCGCTGTACACGCGCCGGCTTTCGGCGCTGACAGCGGCCGCGGACGCGCTCGACGGCGTCGCGCGCGGCAGCGAGCTGCACCTGCAGACGGCCGTGGCGGCGTGGGACGTGGCGCGCGCGCTGACGGGTGCCGCGTCGGAGGCGTCGCGGGCGGCGGAGCTGGCGTGCAGCCGGGCGCACGCGGCGCGGTACGGGCAGCTCGAGCCGGTGGTGCTCTCGGCGGCTGTGGCGGCGCGGCGGCGGCAGCTGCTCGGGGCGTCGCTGTCGCGGCGGATGAGCATGCTCGCGTGGGACACCACCGATCAAAGATGATTTTTGACCTGTAATTCTCCTACAGCAGACTCTGGAGGGTACTGCACGACGGGCCACAGTTTGACCTGCATTGACCACACCAAGGTCGGTAGCTTGGATGCTGTCGCTGTGTTTACATGGTCCACCCGATAAATGCCAACGCATGCAAAAGCCAAGCTTAGGTGCGGGGACCAGCTGAAACGTGATCCAAGACACTGCATTGCGGCAGCGCTGTCATCTAGTTGTGGCCGGGCAGTCAACCCTGCGCTTGCGCAAAGCAGGCGCAATGCGCTCCAAAAACCGCAGGGGCAGGCCCGCCTTGCGGCAGCCAAAGCAGCAGCCGCGTCGCCCTACACGTTGGCCGCGATGAACGCCACCACCTCTTCGAGGCTGCCCGTCTTGGCCGCCGCAGGCGCGAGCGCCACCTTGCTGCGCAGCGCCGCAAAGCTGAACGGCCGCTCCGCCGGCCCGAGCGCCGCGCCGCCGCCGCCGCCCGCGTCCTTGCCGATCGACGCGGCGCGCGTCTTGCGCATCGCGTCGAGCTGCCGCTCGAGGGTCTTGCGGATGAAGTCCACCGAGTGGGCCTCCATTTCCAGGTCCATCTTGTTGCAGGCAATCAGCAGCGGCGTGCGCGAGCGGTGCACCGCGGAGTGCGTCAGCACCTCGTAAAGCATGTCTGCGGCCTCGGTCCGGTGCGGCGTCACCTCGACAGCGTCGACCAGGAAGACGATCGCGGCTGCGTCCTTAAGAACAGCCTCCAGGTGGTGACGGGCGCTGTGGTGGCCGGGGACGTCGAGCAGCTGCGCGGTCTTTGGCGCGCCGCGTGCCGGGCGCAGCGCAACAGTGGCGGCGTTGTCGCCCATGCTGGCCACCACGCCGTTGTGGAGCGACCCGTCCTTCAGCTGGAAGAACAGCGTCGTTTTGCCGGAGTTGGGTGGGCCCGTAAGGACAACTGTGCTGCCCCGCTTCTTTCCCCGCGGTCCGAGTACCAGCAGCAACAAGATGAAGCCAAAGAACGCAGTAAACAACGCCACCACGAGGCCCTCGGGGGTGAGGAGCTCGGGGGGGACGTGCTGTGCTGCACTCCGTGGCACTAGGCCACCATCAATCGCCTGCTGCAGCTGTTGCTTCACTGCCTCGGGAAGCAGGCCCTTCACGGCCGATAACGCCGCCTCCATGCTGCTGCTGCTTGCGGTGCAGATCGCGGATCGCTGTGCTGCTCGTGCTGTTGCTGCTTTGTTGGTTGGTAAGATGCAGCTGAGTGCTTGTGTGTGTGACTTTGGTGTGTGTGTGCTTGCTTTGGGAATGGCCATAGTCAAATGGAAACACCGATTGGTACTTGCAGGAGCGTGCTGCTAGAAGGTGCTCCATGAAAAGCATGACCAGGCAGTCAACTTGGCCGCAGGTGGTCAAGCTCGTGCACCACTCGCACCTGCGAATCTGAGCTTGTTGCCGCAACTCTCGTAGGCTTCACATTCAAATGGTTGAGGTTGAATCCCACAAAAACCCTGCTTGGCTTCATGGCCTGACGCATGGTGTACCGGCTCGATAGCAGGCACATCTGCGAGCAACTAGTCAAAGTGCGCGCCTGAACATCTGCGAGCAACTAGTCAAATTGCTTGTTGGCACTGATGAGCGCATGATTTCCATTATTCAGGGCTCCCCAAAACAGGCACGGGCTGGCCATGTGCAGTTCCTGAAAGCATGGCACCTCTGCACTAGAGCTCAGGCGGGTTCGCATGGCCGCTCATGGGGGCTTCCCTGCACTGCATATGTTCCCGTGCACGGCCGTGCTCATTGTCCAGGATGAACGACTCAAGGGGTCTTTGTCAATCGGGCGCTGATATCTGGCACTTTGCCAGGTGCGGCATCTCACAGCGGCGAGTCGTGCAACTGACCGTCGCTGCCGGCAGTTCGCTTCAGGATGCACTGCTGAGTTGCATGCTGTGTTGCAGAGTTCGCGTGTCATTTGGCTTTACCAGTGGCCCAGAAAGCTACAGGGCACGCGATCAACCCTTTCAGCGATCTGAGACTGACAGCTTCTACGCCCTTACCGGTCGTATAACATCAAACTAGTTGTAGCTTTTGTTGACAGAGTCGGCGCGCGACTAGCAGTAGCCATGTTGCCGCTGATCGCCAGGTCCCTTCGACATGGGGGTTCGCAAGGCGGGCGTGCGCTTCAACAAGCCATGCAGCTGCAGCAGAAGCGTTTCTTGAATATACACGAGTACCAGGGCGCGCAGCTGATGGCCAAGTTCGGCATCAACGTGCCCGACGGCGCGCCAGCATTCACCGTCGCCGATGTGGCCAAGGAGGCCGAGAAATACAAGGACGAGAAGGGCGAGGTGTGCGCTAGGAGAAGGAATTATCCCTCACGGGCGCGCTGCTTGCCAGGCGCACTGCGCAGCGTACATCAATGGTCGTGCGATACCTGCCTTGGCCGCCCCTCAGTGCAACTGCCACGGCCTCTGACGCCACCGCTCTGCCGCCGCGGCCCCTATTCGGGCCCAGCCGCCGTCCCCCTGCGACAACAACGCGGTCGCGCGTGCGCGCCGCACCCCCCCCCCCCCCCCC